TCCGGAGTCCGGAGGCCAGGTCTACCACTGTCTTCCCAAGAAGTGGGTAGACCTGGCCTCCGGACTCCGGAGGCCAGGTCTACCACTGTAGTGGGAATGGGTAGGTAGACCTGGCCTCCGGAGTTCGGAGGCTAGGTCTACCACTGTTGTAGGAAGGTGTGGGTAACCTGGACTTCGGAGGCCAGGTCTACCACTGTAGTGGGAAGGGATGAGTAGACCTGGACTCCGGAGGCCAGGTCTGCCAATATAGTGGGAAGGGGTGGGTAGACCTGGCCTCTGGAGGGGGGGCGCTCCAGGGCAGGGGGGTAATTGAGCCAGGGGGTGGACGGGGGTGGAGGAGATGGGAGAACCGGCGGGATAGGGGGGGAACTTACCTCCTCCTGCTGCTTCCTCCTCTTCCTCATAGTTGTGGAGTTCCCCCTCTCCCGCGAGTATCGCGGGTCCCCCCCTTGTAAATGTATATTTTCCAAATCTAACCTAGTTTCTTCTCACTTCCTCCTCCACTACTTCCTCCTCACATCCTAATAAATTACACACACAGTCTCATCCATGCTTATATCCCAACTTCAAAACCCAAAATTTGGCCAGCAGGGAAAGGATACAGATTTCTAATCCTGAATCTGGATTTTGCTTCTCAGCTGTGATGCTTCTAGATAATATCAGCATAAAAAGAAAAGTACAAACTTGGAAATAATCCATCGTTGAAGTCCTAGAACAGAGAAAGAAGGGTGGGAAGGAGAAATATGCTGATCATTTTCATGAATCAGGAGAATGCCTACTTATGTGTCCTGGGCTCCACATCATACCCTACAATATAATTTTACATCCATGCATCTCTGTATTATTAGACCTAACTCCCTTCCCCTCCCCTCAGCCATATCAGCCACAGTGCCTGTTTTCCAGTTATGGTATCTAGGACAGTTACATACAGTTCTACATAGTCATAAAAATAGTTGTGCATGAAACCAAAACATACCATTCACAGTGTGGCCAATATACTGAAACGGATCCCAGAATACCACGGCCACAAGAGGCCTAATGCAGCAAAACTGAGTTGTGCTTATTTGGAGCTGCTATTCTTCGAGTGCCTTCCACATCTGGGATCTGTGCATACACACAGGCTAAACTGTAAAAAAAAAAAACAAATTCTAGAGCTTGGAGCATGCTCTAGCACCGAGTGCCAAGCATCTCTGCCAAAGAACAGGGTCCACTCTTCTAGTTAGTTCCATTCTAATCCCATAGCCAGAAAGGCAAGTGTGATGTATGACTCTCACGAGAAGCCCCCAAAACAGCAGCAATTACAGATAAATTCAACATCTTCATCATGGCCTGTGTGCAATCCCACATATGGGAGACTACAGGGTGCCCACCTGGAGCAGTGGCCCATTCAAGCAAAAATATTTTGCAAAATTTTTTGCAACATTTCTCTGCTCATCGCATCTTTCTTCATGGCATGACTCTACACAAACATCAACAGAAACAACACAACCCTATGGCTGTCTTGCAAAGATCTGCAATCAACACACTTCTGCAGAGTTGCTACAGATTATGTCTAGTGAGAGGAATACGGATCCCCAAAGGATCTACCTTCTTATAACAAGACCAAGGGCCTGAAAAGAAGCTCCAAGTCTCTTAATTCCTTCTTTAAAAGCTGACAAAAAGGCGCTCGCTCTCTCAACAAAGTGGAATGCAAGTAAAATGTAACAGGTGGATTTGGAAAGAGGGGGGAGACTGTTTTGTTAACATGAAATGCAGGAACCTCTCTGGGTAAGAACTCCAAGCTAGGTCTTCTGACACTTGTATCCATCCCTATACACATCTCAGAGATCTGTCCATTGCAACAAATCACACTCCTTTCACAAATTCTTCTCAACTGATTGCAATAAAAAAGCAACCATGAAGGCAAAAAGAATCCATATGACTGGCATAAATTGCTGCAGAACCTATACTAACTAAATGGACCATACCTGTTTGAAGGTACCATCTCTCTGAATACTAGATGATAGGAATCTGCGTGCCCTGCCTGTGACCCTCCAGAGGCATCTGGCTTCCCACTGTCAGAAGCTGAACACTGGATTAGATGGCCCTTGATCTGATCCAGCAAGGTAATGTTGACATTATTCAGTAGCTCAATTATGTGTTCAAATAAGCCACTACAGGATGAATGCCAGTTGTAAAAGAGCGAGAAAAATTCCTCTCTATTTCACTCTCTTCACTATTTTATAAGCCTCCATCTGGCCATTCCCTTCTCCCCAGCATCTTGCTTTGTCTTCATCTTTCTGTAGTGTACACTCTGTTTATGGCAGACTGTGTATGGATTTCAAAAAGTGATTTGCAGGTAATCTGTGGATAGATAAGGTCTTTCTGTTCTGTTCCAGCTTTATGATTCAATCTTCAACTAAGACGATATCTTCTATCTTCTGTGAAAACAGATCTAACCAATAAGCTGCAAAACATCATTGTCCTGGAACCCAGGGCCTTCCTCAGCACCTTGCTTGGGTGTTACTCCCCCCCCAGGGGTCGTTTCGTAGAAAAAGAGCTAGGGGAACTCATTAGCATAACTCATTAGCATATGCCACACCCCCTGATATCACCGGAAGTGTGTCATAAGGCCACACCCCCTGACATCACCGGAAGTGTGTCATAAGGCCACACACACCGCCCCCAACGGTCCCGGCCGCCGCTGTCGGCCTTGCAGCTCCACTGCCGAGCCCCATGAGGGGTGGGGGAGAGGCAGGGAGGAAGCAACTTACCCTCCCTCTTCTCCTGCCTCCTCCTGGCTGAATGAGGGCCGGAAGCGGGGCGGCTGGAAGCAGGGGGCGGGGCTTCGTCATGTGCCCCACCCCCCGTACCTCACCCGGGGGAACTGCGATCCCCCGCGATCCCCCCCGAAATGACCTCTGCCCCCCCTTATTTTTAAGCAAGCAAGTATGTAATATGGAAATCAGCAAGCAACTACAAATGGATGCAATCATGAACTGCTAGTTACCAAAATTCCTAAAAACTTGATGTTGCCATCCAGGAATTTGAATCCCCCTCCTCAAGTTATGCAAAGGTCAGGTGCCTTGTGCAGAGATTCTAATTTATAATCAAAAGAAAAAAAATACATTGGTTAGTAGGAAGTGGGAACATTTCCCTCAGTCCTCCATGCTGCAGTAGAAGAAACATCCTCTCTGCTGCTGAGGTACCAAAGCAAACTGTGAAACAGATGGAACTGGCTAGTGAGAGAAGATCTGTTGGTCCATTGGGAGGCCTCTGGTCCAGGCTGTGAAGTGAATGTTAAACACCGGTTATGCTGCATATAAAAGAACATTTCCAATGACAAAATGAGTACTCTAAAGTTCTTTATTCTAGCAAAAACAAAGCAAGAAGCAGCAGCTGAAAAATGACACAAAGTTTATACGAATGTAGAAAATCAGCTTTAAGGACAGCAAAGATCACTCGGAAGGCAGTCTTATCTTGCATGCTCTTCACATTACAGGAATTTGTTCCTAATTCTCCCCTTCAGGGAAGATTATATTTGCTGAAGAGATATGAGGATGTTAAAGAGTTCTTATTCCTTCTCCTTTTGGGGGGAGTAGACCACAGCTCTTTGTAGATCATATATGTCCTAGAACCAGTGATCCAATGGCCAATTTCCAGAGGACTATTTAGGGCCTCCTGATAACTAGGATACTTGTCAAGAATCCTGTACTCTGGTGGACCTTGGTCTAATCTTACAAAATACTTATGTTCATAAGCATATGTATATGCAAAGCAAAGCAGAAGACATCCAGGGGCAAAATTCTTGCATAAACTTTCATATACATGCAAGATCACTTAACACTGATCAGTTGTACCTTCAAGACTAGTGATACCAACTACGCACTCATAATAATTTCTCTTGAAAAGGAAGGCATACTCCTCCCTCACTTCATCTCCTCTTTCAGTGAGAATCAGAAATAAAAGACAAAATATAATTGTTAAATTGAATTTAATTGGCTGTTACTACATACATGATATATGAAAACCCCAGAAAAATGTAATGGGAACTACAAAGGCTTTGGCCTAAAGCAACAGCAAAATGTAAAACACACACAAGCAGATCCAAGGCTGAATGCAGCTGAACTTTATCCATAGAAGTTACAGTCGTTTTTATGCTGATCTCAAGGACAGAGTCCAAACAAATACAGATGAACATTTATCATCAGAGCACCAGATTATACACACAGTAGCAGGCCTTACTTTGTTTGAAAAGTAAGTTCTGGGCAACCAAGTCTTGCTACCCTTATCCCACAAACAATAAATCCAAAGGCTGACCATGGTTTTCACCTCAGCCATTTTAACCCTATCTAATTTAAGGTACTTTTTCACTACCAAGTAATGGGGATTAATTTACCAAGAAATCCTATTATAAAATTCTGCCAGGAATTTATTTATTACATTTATACCCCGCCCTACCCCAAAAAATGGGCTCAGGGCGGCTCACAATGTAAGAACAAGCAATAAAAACAGTAAAACAATAAATAGCAATAGCAGATCAACCAAACCCCTGCACTAAGAATTAATTACCCTAAGAGACTTCAGTGTCCAGATGGTATCCAGAACAGTAGGGCACTGGAAAAAAGTAAAAAAAAACAGTGCTGTGGACAGGACAGGGGGGCCAGAATAGACTGAACACCCACCGCCTCAACCAAAGGCCTGGCGGAACAGCTCCATTTTACAGGCACTGTGGAACTGTGCTAGGTCCCACAGGGCCCTGATCTCAAATGGGAGTATATTTCACCACGCCAGGGCGAGGGCTGAAGAAGTCCTTGCCCTGGTCGAGGCTAAGAGGACATCCCTTGGGCCAGGGACCACCAGGAGATGTTGATCAGAAGAGCACAAAGCTCCCCGGGGCTCATAGGGGGAGAGGCGATCCCGCAGGTATGATGGTCCCAGGCCACATAGGGCTTTAAAAGTCAAAACCATAACCTTGAACTGGATCCAGTATTCGATCAGCAGCCAGTGCAGTTGGTGCAACACCAGTTCAATGTGCACATGCGCAGGCGTCGCCATCAATAGGCATGCTGCTGCATTCTGTACTAGCTGCAATTTCCAGATCAGGCTCAAGGGTAGCCCTGCATAAAGTGCATTACAATAGTCTAGCCTGGAAGTGACCATTCCATGGATCACTGTAGCTACGTTCCGGGGGGCAAGATAGAGAACTGGTTGCCTGATTAGCCGAAGATGATAAAAGGCCAATCTGGCAACCAAAGTGACCTGGGCCCCCATAGTAAGTGAGGAGTCCAGCATCACCCCGAGATTCCTTACCTCCTGCACTGGCACCAATGGTGCCCCACCAAAGACCAGGAGCCTAATTCCCAATCCCAACCCCCCACGACTCAGGTACAGGACCTCTGTCTTTGTTGGGTTCAGCTTCAGCCGACTCTGCTGCAACCATCCAGCCATGGCTGCCAGTGCCTGGTCCAAGATGTCTGGAGTGGAGTCACGCTGGCCATTCATCAACAGATAGAGCTGAGTGTCATCGGCATATTGATGACAGCCCAGCCCAGATCCCCAGATCAATTGGGCGAGGGGGCACAAACCACCTTGATCCATATGTCTCCGGAGATCATCCATGAGGGCAACCAGTGCAGTCTCCACCCCATGGCCAGGGCGGAAGCCGGATTGGAATAGATCCCAGTATGGAAGCATCATCTAAGAAAGTCTGTAGCTGTTCAACCACCGGCCTCTCAGCCACCTTAGCCAGAAATGAAAGATTCAAAACCGGGCAGTAGTTGGCAAGGACCGCAGGGTCCAGTGAAGTTTTTTTGAAAAGCAGACATACCACTGCATCCGTCAAACCCCCTGGGAATACCCCTGAAGAGAGGAATAGGTTGATAATATTTCCCAAGGGGGCCCGAACCCCATCCCCGCTGGCTTTAACCAGCCAGGATGGACACAGGTTAAAGGGACATGTAGTGGGCCTTACAGCTGTCATGATCTTATCTACTTCCTCACTGAAAAGCCGCGTGAAGTGGTCCAAGACTTCACTTACTGTATTAACTGTGGTTGGAATGTCGTGGCGGACCAAGGAGACTTTATCTGCAA